CCTGGCCTGATTTATTACAATATGATGGCAAATCAGAGTTTAAAAAATCAGTAAGTTTGTTAATACAAGAACATAATGTAATAATACGAATTATTGACATATACAATTATCATGGCATGGTGATTGTGGAATGATTTAATAAAACTCTAGCAGAAATACTATATAAAGTTCAATATGCTATCGAAAGTATAATTTCAAATCCTAAATTAATAAGTGAGTGAATTAAATATTTGCCAGAAGTTATCAATTATCTAAATAATTGTCTGACATATTTTATTTGAGCTCCAGGTTCATCAAAATGGAATTTAGCTCCAGCAATAGCAATCAGATTAGAAAAAATTGAATCTAGGTCATCCACAAAATATAAGCAATCAGTCAGAAATAATGAAATAAAGTTAAATAAGAATGATACTGTTCGATATTTACTTGCTAATACCAAATGGGAGAGTGATATAGAAAATCAGAAATGCGTGACAGATCCCACATTCAGTTCAAGTATTCATAAAATTTGAAAAATTGTTGTAACGAAGAATGAGCTTATTCTTATTTTATATTACTTAGAAGGTGATGAGTTTATATCAAAGCAGGGATTTGTGAGAGAGGAACTCTTATATGTGAATATTAATGTGCTTTAGTATTCATTCCAGAATATATTAAAAGAAAATACTCATTCCAGATCTGTTAATTTTATTTGTATTATTAATAAAATGATCAAGATTGAAGAATATGCAAAGAAGCGTGACGGAAAATGTCTTGGTAAAACTGATCAAATAAATAATTTTGATATATATCTCTGATCTTGTAAAAATGAAAAATATCAGTAAGAATATCCATATCCACTAATAGCTATAAAATTTAAATGGTGCTCCTTATGTCATCATATCACTGAGAAAAACATAAGATATATTTTTAAAGATCTGTTAGGTAAGAAATTTTCATCATACAGGGCTAAGTTCTTAGATGGGATACAATTAGACGGGTATAACGAAGAGCTAAAATTAGCATTCGAATCCAAGGACATCCAATATTTTTGTGTTGTTCCAAAATACTTTCACCCCAATGATGAGGTCGATCTAGATATACAAAAAAGTCATAATCAAAAAAAGTAGGAGATATGCAGAAGACAATGTATAGATTGTATTTGTATCTCATTCGATTGTGATTTATTTTCCTATATAAAAAGCAAATTACAAGAGAGAGATTATTTATCTTATAAAGAATAAATATTGATTATTTTGATTAAAATGAAAGATAAAGACATGCTCATATTTGTATACAATATTGATGAGACATCTAACAAATTCTCAGAATGAATAGAATCTAACAAATATACCTCTGACTGATCTTTTAGACTCCTCGTGACAGGTGGCTCCAATAGTGAAAAAACAAATATGATTATTAATCTTATGCTAGATAACAAATTATAATGAATATTTAAAAATAAGAAAGGAAATTGTTATATTAAAAATAATGATTTCGTATTAATAGGCAAGCATTTTGAGCCTAAATGACAACTTGTACAAAATAGCTTTCAGATCTTTGCAAATGTTTCCAAATCATTGTCACGATCATATATTTTGAGCTCTTCTTGATGTTATTATCAATCGTGACTTCAATCAATTATCTGTTTGTGTTTAATTATCAATTTCATTTGTTTACTATTAAAATTTAGTTGTGCAATAAATGTATCTTCTTCTATCATTAAGATATAATATCACTACTACTAATAAATATCTTTCTTTATATTTACTTAGTGTGTGAATGATCCTATAGCAATATAGTACTGATATTCTATAGCAATCTGATTGAATGTCCAGTAATACGCAATAAATTCAATGATGTAATTATATGTAATTAATTAAATTGTTTATAAGATAAGATTTAATAAAGACAGTCAAGTAATAGATTTTTAAAGATATTTTATTTAAGTTATTAGTTGGACTAATTGCTACAACTTGCTTTTTTATAGCTACAAGACCAACTATATTTATAATAAATATTTTCATGACTAAATTATTACAATTGTATAAAAATAATAAATAATAGATACTATGTAAATTATAGTAATTATGGTAATTGTTGTAAATGATGATAATTACAGTAATTATGATAATTATCAAAATTATAAAAGTTATGGAAATTATGAAAATTATGTAGATTATATAAATCATGCAAATTATGCGAATTATAAAAATTAATTAATAAATAATAAATTACATGTTATATATAAAAGTCATGTGATTTCAAATTCATCCAATAAGAATATAATAAATTAAATAATTAAATTAAATTAAATAAATTTAATTATTAAAAATGTTAAATATAATAAAAGTGATTAATTATCAATAAAATAATTATATTATAGAATATTTGAATCGTAATACTGTATCGAGAAGATGTCATATTTAAAAGAGTATTTCCAGATGATATAATCAAATTCTTACCAGATTGAAATACAGTTGTTGTATTTGAGAATCTATATGCTGAATCAAAGAAAGTGCAAGAATGAATTATTTCTTACTTCATTAGTGACTGATATCAAAATATCTTATCAATATATATGTCACAGAAATATACACAAATACCTAAAATTATTTGCAAAAATCTGAGTCATCTTGAGGAGCTGGAAGCTAAGATGACATTCATAGAATTATGTAACAATATACGAATAATCTGAAAAAAGCGTTTAAAATTATTGATAAGCATTTATGGGATCAAAAATTTGTGATTTTCAATTTTACTAAACCAGTAGACGATCCTTTAAGCATATAGCTTGGTTGGGATATATCCTTAAATCTTTCTAATAAATAGAATGTGATTTCAGATATTTTAGAAATTTTTTTGCCTCTTGTAATTCTATTTTCTTTTCTTCAATCTCACATTGTAACTTTTTATTTTTATTAATCCACTTTTCATGTTTTATAGTAATTTTTTGCATAAATTTACCAAAAGTTTCTTCATTATATTCAAGTAATCATTAACATAAAATATCTAATTCTTTTTTAATCCAGTAATTGATCTCCTCCTCACATACGAAACAAGGACACTTATATATTTGCTTGCATTTACAACTATTAGTATTTGAATTTGAATTTCTTTATCGATCATGTTTATATATGTCTTGATACTAGCTTCGCTATTATATATAACTTGTAAATTTTCAAGTAATAATCAACTTTGTCTCTAGTGCTTTAACTTTTTTTGATATCTATTTATCTCATGTCTTAAAAATGACTCAACTATAAGATTTATGGTACTAGTTTCATCTTCTGTTATTGGATTTCGCTTCTAAAAAATTAGTCACATCCATGATTCATGTGCTATTGAGAAAAACAATTGATAAATCAAATCTGAATATGCTTTATTGAATTTCATGGCTCTTTGAGTCATTGCTTTACAACTAATATATAATATTGTCACTAGAGATGGTGCAGCAAGTACATGATGCTTATTTGTCATCCGTTGTAACATATTGTCACGAGTTCTGGATTCAAATAGGTAATCTTGTGACGTATGTGTTCAACCAACGTCTATTTCGATAACTCAGTGTTTCGATCTAGTTGCTTTAGGATTATGACGCAGTGTGACTTCTTCTATTCTATTAGTCTAGAATAGATAACACTACTACTAATAAATATCTTTCTTTGTATTTACTTAGTGTGATGATAATTCTATAGCAATACAGTACTGATATTCTATAGCAACCTGGTTGAGTGTCCAGTAGTATATAAAGTAAATGTTATAACAAGATTAATAATTATAAAAATTAATTAATGTACAATTTCATTAAACAATAAACAAAAAGCGATTTATTGATTAGCTAGATTTTGTATTGATTAATTTATGCCTTTTGGTTTATCCAAAAGATCCTTTATTTATATAAAATATTTTTATAATTAAGTTATTACAATATAAAATATGTTATACATGTTAGATAAATATGATATAGTGAATAATGTTAATATATCTAGGAACTCTGCTATCTCTACAATCTATATTTTATCACATGATTAAAATTAAGAAATTAAGAAATTAGGGATAATTCTGAATCGTAACATCATTAAGACATTGAAAGTTCTCCTTTGAATATTCCTTAAAATTTATAAATACCTTCAAGTATTTTGAAAGCTCCATCAAAATGGTAACAATATTAAAAGTACTAGAACATATGACTACAAATATAGAAACATCAATATTCTTTTCTTTAGTTAGTAATCCCTTTTTATTAATTACCTCTTTGAACACTCTCTCCCAACTTCTCTTTTCATTCTTGATAGAATTATTTAATAATTTCTATTGAAATTGGCACAGGCTTAGATACTTATTTTTTGTACTAACCAATTTTATTAGTCTATTCCTCTTTTCCAACTCATATGACTCTCTTACTAATAGTGAAGAAATCCTTCATTTAAAGTAACCATAGCAATATTAAGTATGAATGATTCAATATAATATTCGATCAAAGTTTGTTATACAACAATATATAAATCAATACTTCTAGTATAGATTCAGTTCTTTAGAATCTCAAATCTCAATGAATTTGAAACCAATTTTTATAAAAACTGGTAAATAGATAGATTTTATAAAGTAGTATATTTTTAATTAGTGATTCAAATTTGAATTCATCTTAGAAAAAAAGTTCTTCAATGTGAGAAATTTATTAATTGTAAATTTTGATTTAAATCATTCTATTTCACAAAATAATTTGTTGTCAAATTATTTTTAAAAAATATTAGAGATTTCAGGATTTCAAATGAACATTTTATTTATTTTGTCCAAACTAATAGTCATGGAAATAAAAATGCTAGAAAGTTAATTTTCGTGTTCGGTTACATGTGTGAGCCACTGTACATGTGACACTATCTGTAAATCCAGATCTTTATTGGGATTGACTTGATCCGGATCCCGTCAATGTCACGTGATTTCGTGACGGATCTACTGGGTGATGCTAGGGTGATTCAAAGTGGGCAAAATTTGATAACGAAAAGTTGTTAGTAAAGATGATTACTTCCTCCAATGCCTCTTTACTACTCTATGGGACAACTCCAGAGACCTTAGAAAGCAACAACTGTCATAATTACATCAACATTATCGATGATACTAACAACGAAGATATTGAAGAATCCTTTGAAAAATCTAAACTAGGTTATTACAAATCTCTTGGACTTTTAACGCTTTGCATCTGTATTGCTTCATTTGTAGCTCAGACGGTAAGTAAATAATAAATTTAGCTGGTAGTACTTTCTCTTTACGAAGATTTTAGTAATAGTTATATTTATTCTTTCGTCATCATAAATTTTGCTATATTATTACACCAGTAAATAAATCAACAAACGAAATTATCGAATATAATAAATCATATATCGATTTCTCTTTTTACTTATAAAAATTTTTCGTGATTATAGGAACTTGTACAATATGTTCAAGATCGGCTGAACTTTCCTAAACCGTATTTTATTTTGTATGTATCTTCGCTATTTATGAGTCAGAGTAATAATATATTATATTATTCCTGTGTTTTGAAGTTTTTTCTTGATATTATATTTTGATTGATTATAAATATCTTTAACAGTTTATAATATATAAATCGGGATGTGTGCCATACATAGATGGATATCACACAGTTGTTATATGTTTATTCTTCCCATACAGTTCTTTGCTGCTCGGATCCCGCTTGATCTTTATCTTAAGGAATTTCTTAGTTTTGGAAGGGAATTAAAGAGTATTTCGAGACCATCAACTCATAATTTACTTATTAATCAACAAGATATTCCATCTGCTAGTGGCAACAACTGCAACTACAACCATAATACAGAACAAAGAAGGGAATTGATAAATAATTATGAAGATTTTCAATACACGGGTGATAACATTCCCTCTGCCGTCGACATGAATCCTTCAGCATTAGCTTCAATTCGGGCCATTATTTCATCTCCGGAATATCGACCAACGGTCAAATATCTCCTAAGACTATCATTTGTATTTTCACTCTTCATTTGTGTACCCGCATATCTTTGGTACATTGCAGTGAATCTTACAACAATGGCAAATCTCACTGCAATCTATAACATTAGCTTTTTTTTCGCGTATCTATTTTCTATTTTATTTTTGGGCGAAGACTTGAAACGAATTAAGGTTTTTTCTGTAGTTTTGTGTATTATTGGAGTATTAATAATGTCTTATGGTAATAAGAGTGATGGAAATAACAAGCTAAATACTGATCTTAAATATGGTGGAAATGGATACTCAAAATCCATAATTGCTGGAAACTTTATCGCACTTATCGGTGCATTACTTTACGGACTCTACGAAGTGCTCTTCAAAAAGTATTTATCACCACCTACTCCGTCGATTTTATTCTCAAACACAATCGTTGCACTGATCGGCGTTTTCACATTTCTTTTCTTATGGATTCCAATACCATTCTTACATTTCTTGGAGGTAGAAGAGTTCTCGCTGCCGGATTCGAATACTTTTTTGTATATTATGTTGATCGCAATGCTGGCGGTTGCATTCAATGCTAGTTTTATGTTTATGCTTACATTGACTAGTCCAGTAAGTTCTTTACAATTTATGAATTATCGATTCATATTATATGGCAAGAAATAGGTTTCAATCTTTATTTTTTTATTAGCTCGTCGCTTCTATTGGCATTATGTTGACCATACCAATTGTAGCAGGGGTATGATCAAGAAATTTCCTTGTCTCGTACTACTTCGAAATTTAACTGATTATTTCTTGAATACCTCTCTTTTTAGGTTGATATGTTGTTAACACACAAACCACTAGAGATCAATACGATACTGGGTAGCTTTAGCATCTTACTTGCATTTGGACTATTGGCTTGGCCCAATTCTAATATTGTAACGAAGGAGGATAATATTCAACAATGAATTCATCATATCAACAATACTAATAATAGAAATAACGATGATAATATAATACTTACTTATTAGATAATTTAAAGCTAATGCTGAAATTGTTCAACTAATACTGCAATAAACCGGCCAATCGGCGGATATTAGATTTTGATTTGGCACTCAAACATGCCTTTTGACTAGAAGACTGGCCTGTATTGTTTTTAGTCCACAGTTTAGTAACCAAGACCGGCTGATATTTTTAATTAATCAACTATTATTATTAAAATTATGATTTAACATTGTGCTGCCAGTTTAAATTAATTTCATTTTGTAATGACGTATTTATTAATGTAAAATTGAATTTTACGTGATTCACATTTTACTTTTTACACATGAACTTCTCACAATGAGTGACAACCAAGATTATTCATCTAACCATCTACAAGATAATGATGAATATAATAACGATAATACTAACGATAATACTAACGATAATACTAACTTTAATAGTGAAGATGAAAACAAAGATCATCAAATACAATTTATTTGATTACCATTATAAAAAAAGAAGCAATTTTATTATTTGTATGAGCATCTTTGATAGAAATACAGTAAAATATTCTGGTCATCCTGTTTGTCAAATATGCAAGGCTTTATTTATAGCAACAACAGGTACATTAACTTTGAAATAATATTTAGACATATACAAAATTATTATATCTAAAAATGTCAAAGAACTTTATATAAATATTGCACTGATTCCCATTTTGAAAATGAACAACAAAAATATAATAAATCTGTTACTATTTGAATTATATGTGATGCTTAATCTTTTAATATTATTAAATATGAAGAATAATGACAAATAATTTTCAAGTTTGATTCAAAATATTAATTTCACAATTAATATATTATAAAGAATCAATAATGATATTGTTTCAAGAAAAAAAGGAACAAGTAAAATTAGTAATAAGTTAAATATTAGGAAAAGTAGCTTTTATCATAAATATGTGAACAACAAATAATAATATAGCTTTTCTTAGTCTTATTATTTATTATATTGATACTTCTTGAAAATCAAAATTTTTTTTCTTAATAATAATTTATAATATAATAAATATTATTTATTAGTTTTTTGTAAATTTAATTTAATAAAAAAATTTTAATATTAACAATTGATAATATATATATTGCTATAATAATAACAATAATTTTACAAATTTAAAAAAAATTATAACTTTCAAAAATAACAAAAAAACAGAAAATCTCTAAAAATATTAAAAGTACAAAAAATAATAAAATAATTCATTAAATATTATTATTTTATTTTTTATTTTACCTTTTATTTTACTTTTTATTATTATTTTACCTATTATTTAATCTTTAATTTTATCTTTATTATTGTTTTAGTTATTGTTTTAGCTATTATTTTATCTATTATTTCATTTTTTAGTTATTTTATTTTTTATTTATTTTTTTAATTAATTATTTTACCTTTAGATAATTATTATATCTGAAATTGTATTTTCAAAAAATATATAAATAGAGATATTATTTGAGTCTCAATTCAATAAAAAATAAAATCCTCTCTTAACAAAAATTTTTTTCAAATAATACTCATCTCTCTCACTTTTAATTATATATATTAAAGTTTATATACAAGTAATTTTGAATTATATTATATCAAACAAAATATTGTTATTAAATTTATAGATTTTGAATTATATTGTATTAAATAAAATACTGTTATTAAATTTATAAGCTTTGTATTATATCATATTAAACAAAATGTTATTATTAAATTTATTGATTTTAATCAAGTATTTTAATTTTTGTTATTTTAAATATTTGTTATTTTTGGTTTTGATATTTTAATATTTCTCATTTTTGAGAAAAAAAACTTAGTTATTATTACTAATTATATTATTTTAGCTTTGAAAAGCTTTATATAAATATAAATAACTAGTATTTCAAATATTTTTTATTATTTATTTCTTATTATTTTATATTTCTTTCTCTTTTCTTCAATTTTTATTCTCTCATAATTTTTCTATATTATTATTATATTTTTGAATTATTATAATTTCAGTAAAAATTAATAAAAAACTTAGATACTTCTTTTTTTCTTTTAATATTTTGTTTATTATGCAATCCTCTTTTTCAATTCAGTTTCAAGTTTGTAAGCTATTTTAATAATTAGTAAATAAACTTATAACAGTATTTTTAATAATTATTTGTAGTATATTTATATTAAAAACTTAAAAAGAATTTGATAATTTGAATTTTATTTATTATTAATATGTATTACTTATATTTTAAATTTAGCTATTAGTCAAATAATTGATGAATTATTAAAAAAATATAGTTTTTAATAATTTACATTTAACTAACAAATAATAATTTAAAATTATTATGCAAAATAAAAGAAATTACTTATTTAACACCTAAATTAAATTAAAATTTCACTTATTATATGCTAAAAAAACGGAATTAATCTTGAATTTGCTCATTATTAATAATAAAACAATTCATTTGAAAATAATAATTATAATAATATTAATATAAATAAAAAATTAATATATAATAACTTAATTAATAATTGTATTAACTTATTTTTATTTTTTAATTAAATAGAATACTATAATTTTTTTGAAACTGATTAAATATACAACTTGTTTTTTATCTGCTTCAAATCATATAACTCATTTATTTTATTTTTCTTGAAATTCAAAAATATTTAACTTAATATATAAATAATGATAAATTTTTACAATTTATAATAACAAATTCAATTTATTAAAAACTAAATAAATATTGACCAATTTTAAATAAAAAATTACAAATTCCTTTTTTGCTAGATCAAAAATGAAATTGAAAATGAAATTGAAAAAATAAGGCTAAAAATTTAATAAAGTATTTTTTAGTATCAATACCAATTATAACAACTACAACAAATAATATTACAAATATACAAAACTTCTTACAAGAAGAAAATAATAATAATATATTAACCATTTCATCATACACGTATATAATATTAAAGATGAATTGGAAAAGTATTTAGCAATATTATTGAAAGATCAAGTTGATTCCTTGCTTTGGTGACAAACTCAACAATGGGAATATCCAATTTTAAGCCAAATTACAAGAGATTATTTATCTATTCAAGCTACAAGTATAATTTCAGAACAGGTTTTTTCCATGGCTGAACAAATAAATAATTATAGAATTAAGAAGTAAAAACAGCTAGAGTAACATTGTGTTTGAAGAATTGGTTTCACAAAAATATAAGATATTAATTATAATAATGATAATAACAGAATAATAACGTTAATATATATTTATTAAATAAACTGGTCTAAATATTTATACATAATTGAACTATAATTAATCTCCTGTAATTACAGATCACGAAACTTTAGAAATGCCGGCCGAGATTATGGGAAATTTTATATGAACGAAGGAAAAGTTTAACACCTAACAAAATTAAAGATGCACTTGATCAAACCTACACTAAAAATAATATCCTTAGCAAATTTTAGAACTAAGAGTAACAATACCAATAGTATTAGTAGTTTCTTAAATTGTAATTCTTTGCCGAAATTCCAAGTTCAGTTATTATACGGTACTAGTATTAATAATAATGAACAAAAACAGGAACAAGAGGAAAAGAGCACCTTATCATCCGAAACTACAACACTAGATTTTAGAACACCAGGTGAAAAACATTTATATGAAAAGTTGAGGGAAAAATTTAATCCTTCAAGATTGATTGTTCATGATATATCAGGTAAAAAATAGATTCGAAAGCAATCGGGTCAAATGATCAAAGATTTATATTGTTTTTTGATTTAATCTTTTTAGGCGGTTGCGGAGAAATGTACGCCATAGAAATTGCATCATCTGCATTTAGTGAACTTTCCATGATCAAACAACATCGTCTAGTGAATGAAGCTCTAAAAGACGATATTGCAAAGATGCATGGGGTGCAATTGAAAACATCTGCCAAGTAGTTGGTGATGTAAGTGAAAGTTTTATTATCACTAATGTAAAAATAAATAGTGTAATCGAGCAACTAAACAAAAGATTAAATAGTCCCCTCGTACCTTTACCTTACTCTAAAATCACTTATTTTTAACTGTATTTGTCTATACCACCACCAGTACCAATAAAATCATTCTTATTTTTATCACTGTTAATCACCACGCTCCGACAAATTCCATCAGCAATTCTAAACACGAAACCAGCCGTGACCCAGATTCCACCCACGATTCCACACAATCTCACCAGAAATTGTGAGAAACTTGTGTATTTCTCTGTTATTCGTACCGATATTGGTTCAATGTCGTATTTGAAAAAAATTCCTATTATAAATTTATATGA